TGTGACAGGTGCTGTGGATTTCACATTGTTTTCACACAAAACATTGACAGGTCAAGACGTTTCGCCCACTTGGTTTTATCTTGGGTTTAAATCAACTAATCTGCAGGATGAATTCCTTGCCTTTTCACCCAGCCAGACTCTCAGAAACAGGAATTGAAAGAAAGCTTCATCATCACCTGGTGCTCATCAGCATTAGCCCAGGATTAGCAGCAGCAACCTTAGCAGCTTTGCTGGGGGCGGGGGTTGGGGGGTGGTGAGTGAAGGACATTTTCATTTTATCTTCTCAGTCATTAAGATAGGGAATTTTAATAATTTATACCTCAATAATGAGTCAAAAATACATATTTTTTAAACCACACTAAGTCAAAACTCCTATTATTGCATCCAGATTCTCACTTGGACACATGAATATGACAGCAACTTACTCAAAGCTAAGTAAGACTTGTGACCATGTGTAGTGTGTTTGGAGAAGTGACACAGAGATGGGAAAGGGAGGTAAAGGGGATAAAAGCTCCTCTTGACAAGTACCTTGCCAACATGTCTTTCAACATTGCAAAATATCACTCATTTTAATCAGGGAGAAAGCAGGAAAGATTACACTGTATATTCATTAAAACATATTTTTAACAAGCCAAGCAACCTCCTGTCAGTGGCGAGGAATGGCCCCAGCTTGCTGAGGGGAGCTCACTGCTACGTGCTCATTTGATGTTCAGATGTAGGGAGGGAGGGGGGAACCAATCTTCCTGTCTCCTTTTTCAGTCTCTCAGCTTGTTCTGCATAAATAAATTTTACTTTTTTCTTCTTGCCAAGCTTTGGAGGCAGTGACCAACTTCTGTTAGGAGCCCATGCTTCCCCTCTGCCCAGCCCCAGGCATTGCTTGGGGACAGCTCACAGTGGGATCTGAAACTGAAGGGCGAGGAGGAAGACAACAGGGGAAATGTTTAACTTCTCCTTAAAACAAACATCACAGATTTCAGTCTAAAAGTTTTGACAATGTTTTTCTCCAAGGGATAAACAGGATTAAATTTCCAGAAGACGCTCTGCAAAACCAGTTTATTTGTTCTCCCCCACCCAGTTCTGCAGCGAGGGAGTTTTGAGAGGCTCTTTTCCCCTGTGCAGCAAAGGCTCCTGTCCATAAAGAGACCTTGATCTTGCAGCACTGCTCACATGGGGTACGGTCAAAATCAGCATGCTGCAGATCAGATCCTGTACGACCCATGAGTTACAGAATAAAAGGCACTTCTCTGACCTAAGAGCTTTTGCTAAACTTACATAGCAGTTTATTCTAACAGAAGTGCTTATGCTACTGCCTTTGCCCATGGCTAGAGCACCCACTGAAGATGACATGGTTGATACCCCAACACACAGATGAGAAGTGGATCGGAACACACACTGCCTGTCCAGCACAGCCCTTGCTGAATAAATGGGGAAATCTGATTGTGTGGACAATTTATCTCTCAGTGACGCCTCATCTTTACTATGCAAAATAAAGAGGCTACTCTCATTCCTTTCATGAAGTATCCAGACACATTAGAGCTATCAGTCTTTCCCTGGTTATCAAGTCGTGATCAAATTGTTACCGTGTCTTTTGCAGAAAGATGTCTGTTGCAGATACGAGACATAACCTGTTGGAAAGCCAGCCCTGGCAGGCTCAGCTCTTTCCTCTGGCCGCACCCCAAAAGTGCTAGAAACAAAGTAATTAAAGCACGAGAGCACGGACTGAGTCTGGTTCCCGGGGTGGTGGGGATTATTTTTATTTTACTAAAGCATCATGGACCTGTTTATTTATTAGAGAGATTCACGCCGTGTTCCTGCCGAGCTGCGGCAATCCCCGCACGGAGCTGGGCATTCCCTGCGGGGGGACCAGAGGCAGAGGGGCCGGGACGGGACCTGGGCTGCGGAACGGCGCTTTCGGGTGCCTCCTGTCCCTCCTCCCTGCCCCGGGCTGCGCAGGGCTCGGAGCCGGCTCCGCATCCCCACTGCCCCACGCACCCCGCCCGTGGGACAGCAAGGTGTCCCCGCCGATAGGACATCCCGATCCGCTGGGAACCAGCCCCAGCCCTCCCCAGAAAGCTCTCCCGGGCCCCATCGCCCCCGTCCTGCCCCGTGCCGGGCTGCGGAGGCAGCGGCCCCGAACAGCCGGAGGAGCCGGGCAGGGGCTGCCCCGAGCCCCGCCGCACACCCGGCTCCGCTGAGCGAGCCGACCCCCAGCACCTCCGAGCCCCACTCAGCCCCAACCCTCCCAGCCGGAGGTTTAGGACGTTCTCGGTTTAAAAGGGTGGGAACAAAGCCCTCCGAGCCGCACTTTACCTGTTCTCGGCACACTGCGCGGCCCCGGTGCACCTGCGGGGTTATGAGCAGCCTTCTCCCCACCTGGATTTACACCGTGCCCGGCTGTTACAAGCTCTCCTCCACATCCACCACAGCCTGAACCTATAACTGCGAACTGGGGGGTGGGGAAACAACGCCAGGAACACCCACATTGCCGTAGGTTACACTGAGGAGGAACACTGGTGTATCCGCTCCTCCGACAGGCTCCGGACAGCCCAAACTGTCAGCAGCCCTGGAGCACGGCCAGCAGGGCTGGCAGCAGTTCCGAGCAGAACAGACGCACAGGCACCCTGCTCACAGCAGCCCAAAGGAGCTGCACTAGCAATCAGGCTTTTAAAATGTTTCTTGCAATGCTTGTTTTTCCACAGAAAACTATTCTTGACCTGTGGGTAGAAGTACCATATTCACACCTACTACACCTGGAGGAATGATGTAAGGGACTTGTTTTAAAAATCATGTTTTGTTATTATGCTATTATAATTATTCTGTGCCAGTACTAGCAGTTGCACAAAACTGAGCTCTTTCAGTCAAAGAGGAGCTTGCACACCTCCTCCCACCCAAAACCTAAAAAATGATCAATAATTTTTGAATTGTACTGGAAAACACCCCTTGTGTCTACCTCACAGTATGCAGTTAGGAGCACACCAACTGCTAAATAATAAATAATTTCAGCCAAACCCAGTAAGCAAAGTATACTCAAGTTCCTCCAACAGTGCTTCATAAATTGAAATTATAAGGATAAAAAAACCCTTGTTGCTTTGCAGTGCCAGGTAATTTTTATTAATTTCCTATTACTTCCCTTTCAAAAGTGCTGTTATTCTAGATTTCCAGTTCACTTTTGATGGAGGATGTGGACAAGCGAACAAGAGGTGTGGGAGTACTAAATAATCAGTGAGGTGCTTTGCATGAGAGCAAATCCTTGTGCAAGTCACTCTGCTCCCAGGGAGTCAAAGGACACCTGACAAAGCCATAGTCTTGTTCAGAACCAGGGGCACAAACAGAACTCCAGAAATTCAAGTGCAAGCATTCATCTAATTATTAGTTACTGCAAGAACATGATGCAACAAAAACTAAGAGGCAGGAAAAAAAATCTGAGGCAATTTGAGTAATAAAACATTAAGTCAAAGGAAAATATTTGGCAACAATTTTAATATCAAGATTCTTCCAATCTGCAAAAGCCCAAACTTGAAGTATATGTTGTAAGTGGACAAAAAGGCTGACCCTGCAGTTTACACCAGCAAATGTCTACTCTGTTCCACAAAAAGTTATCTGACATTCCTGAATTAGTCACAAATGACTGCTAATCTCTTAATACTAAAATACTGATAATCTCTTAACAATTTGATTTAGTATTTTTGTCATTGCCGAGACTGGGTCTTTTTTATTATGACGTGAAAACTTGATGGGGTAGAAATCCTGATGATGTAGCTACACAAAAACAGCTTCAATACAATTCACTTAAATAACATTCACAGATGCATATTATACAGCATAAGGGTAAAAAAAGAACTGTGCACATTAAAGTATTTACTGATTTTAGAGAAAACTATCTGTATTCAGTCCAAGACAACATTCAACCTTTAATGATACTGAAATCAAGGTCTAACTACAGACCTGAAATTAGGCTGAAAGATCAGTAATTAAAGAAGATAGAGAGTTTTTCAAGGGATATAAATGGTACCAAAGTTAAGTGAGCCTTACAATTGCAATCATTCCAAATGCAAGTCTGCAGAACAGACTCACAATGTAATGGCCATTCCATAAACTTCTGTGCATTCAACAAGAAAATACAAGCAAGATGTTTAGTAGCACATGGTAGCATAAAACAAGAACAGAACAGAAATTGTAGCTTGCAGGTTTGCAATCCTCCAAGTTACATACTTGTGTCACAGTAACAATCAAGCACACAGATAAATGCAGGTACTTAAAGAGCACAGTTTCTACAAAGTGACCCTCATTTTTTAAGCTGATGCTCTTGATCTTCTAAAAAACGAACTGCAGCAACTTGGTGGACATGAAAATGAAATGGTGCCTGTCAGAGACTTAGTGGCTCAACAGATTTTTCATATCACTGAATCCATCTGGATTCCCAAACTTGTTTAAAAGGAAGAGTAGGACTTGTTTATGCTTTTCAAGCTGTGGAATAAGCAGAAAGAGTTAGAAATATACAGTTCTGGGGTTTTTTTAATTGCTGATTTCAGATCAGGGTAGATGCTAATATGACAAACTCAGCTAAATACCATATTAATTCAATAAATAGATTTAGTTCCTTTCTGTTAAGTCTTCTGGAAGGGGAAAAAGCCAACAGAACTGTAGCTGACCTCCCCTTGTTCATGTATATGTCCCTCCCCCCCTTTTTTCCCCCTGAAGCAGCTTCCTCAAACCAAACTGATTAAATACTCAAATTAAGATTGAGATTGCCATCTTAAATTAAATAACAGAGAAAAGTGCCACTCCTGACAATTAAACACTTGAAAAATGAAGTAAGAGCTGTCTGTGGGGCAAAGTACAGACTAATGAAGTCTGTGTGCTCCAAACACCATCCTCCCTCAGCTTCAGGGTGCTCTAATTATTACCATATATAAAAAACCTGAGAACAAGTGTCAGGACACATTTCACTGAACTTCCATGTTTCAGTAGCTATTATTCCCCCTACTCCCATTTGCTTCCTACACAGGGTTTCTTTTGAATTCTGGAAACATAAAAAAGGAAGTATTGCTTGGAGTAAATCTTACTTGCACTTTTAATTCCTTGCAGCAGCAGCTGGTCTCACCTTCATTACCTACAAAAACCAAAGTGAATGAGCAAAATACACACACACATATTCCTTCCCTAATTTAAGAGGTGACATGTGGCATTGTCCAGGATTTTTAGAAGGAAAAGTCACTTAGCCACCCCATGTGCATACAAGAATAAGCAAACTGAAGTAATCAAGCCAAAGTATGTACCTTGATGTTCACTGTGTGAGTTGTCAGCACTGCAGGATGTCACCAAACCCTCCTTTAGCAGTTTGTCAGCTACATTCACATAACCATTGTCCAAATGCTTCTCCACTGTTACAATATTAACATTTCCATTAATCCCTTTCACTGTAATTGTGACATGTTGCTTCAATAACAGTTTTTTCAACGTGTCAAGCACTAATGGAGACCACTCAGCTTTCTCTATTCCTGTGGAAAAAGGAAAATCAAGTCTGTTATATAAATAATTACTTTAAGATATAACTTGAATAGTACATATATGCTTTGGAAAATATGATGCTAAATTTTCCTAATATAAATAGCTGAAATTCTAGAGATAATGAACTAAAACCAAGCTTTCTAAACCACCTATTACTGTGCTTACCAATATGTTATTTCAGAATATTGTCATGTTGTTTACAAGTATTAAGGAATGAACACTACTACCAGAACAGGTAAAAAATTATAATGTTCAAGAAAACCAGTCAGAGGTTTTTGGGGTGTGGTTTTTTTTGCTTATTTTGGGGTGGTTTTCTTACCTGCAAGTGAACATGTAATAGTCTGAAAAGGCAGCTTTAAATAGGAATCAGTGATTGGCAGCACCTTTGAAAGGGGTAAAGTTTCTGTGTTGCCATAGTCTCCATACAGAACTTTCACTGCAGACTGGGAAGCTTCCAGAACAACAGCTCTGTACCAATTGCCATTACCTGAAAAGATTGGGGGAAGAATGGTCACGTGTGAAGAATCATCTTATAAACACAGTTTATCTCCAGAACAAGAAACTGTAGAGTTTTTAAAGAATTTTTAAATACTGTGGTGGATATATTAGAGGCCAATTGACAAGAAGCACAATTAAGAGATCCATAAGCACTTTCAAGCTGGTGTTTTTCCTTTGTCTACAGCAAAAATGCAAGCTGTGTTTTACAGGGGCCAAGGAAATGGAAGGACAAAGGAATGTCTCACCTGAAAACTGAGCACAACAGGCTTCACCCAGTTTTGGTTGGAAGGGCTGCTTGTTGCAAGATCTGCAATAGTCTTCCAGTGAAATCAGCTCCTTAAAGAGCTTGTTTTGACCTACAGGAACAAACACCACATTCACAAACCATGTCTGAGTACAATGAAGTCCATACTTAAGCCTCTTGCTCCCACCTTTGACATTTTTGTATTTTCCTACTGCCCAAGATACATTTCTACACGGTTCAGTTCACTACACGCAATTTTATTAACCAGCTTGCAACAGTGACTTCTTACTGGTATTAGGAACAATGAACACTTTTTCTTACCTTTTTTTGGAAATGGTACAGCATAGAACAAGTCTGGGCTTACAACTTCAGTTACACAGACAGACATGGTTTCATCTACAGCCAACTCAATTGACTTCCAGTGCCCAAGTGAAGTTGCTAACAGAAATTGTAAGAAAATGCAGTGTTACCACTGTCCTCCAAACATACATATATTTTAAGGAACTGTTATTTTATTTGATATTTATAATAATTTTTTGAATTTCAGACACGACTACATGCCTTCCCTTCAGGAAGACAAATCTAAATCAAGAGAAATAATGCTTACTTTGCTTTGTTCATAAACTGTTGGCATATAAAAGTAGCTAAAGTAAAAAACAGCTCAGAAAAAAGAAAACAAAGACCTTGAAAAGCAAACATGAGAAAAGTTTCAGTTACAGAAAACTTCTAATTCTCTGATTCCCACAGAGTCAAACAACATTCATTTCAGACACACAGATTTTTAACTTTCTCTTTTTGTCTATAATGCCACCTGCAGGACAGTTGGTGTTCAACTCTAAGAACTGACAATATACCCAAAACTATGCATTGATATTAATTGTAGTTAAACAAGAAAATAACAGTTAAAGGCTGGAATACTGAAAATTCTTAAATCTAAAATCCTTAAATCTAAAAATTAACATTCCTTTAATTACCTTTCTGGTCCACAGATGTGTTTGGAAAGTCATTTTCATCTTGTAGAAGTTCCTTTACAACCAGTTTTTCTGAAGTTAGTATCTCATTGATAATTGTTGGACAATCTGCAGAATTATCAGTAAGCACTACACCTGCCCCATCTTCAGAAAGGGAAGTTACTGTGGCTTGAAGCTCTAAGCCTGAAGTGTACATATGAAATCTTCTTGTAGCTTCTGGATTCCACTTGCTGTTTCCAGGCTTTATACCTGGGAAGTGAGAAACTGTTAAAATATCTTCAGTCTGAAATATTGACTTCCCTCAACATTATAATTTCCTTTAAAAAATACTTTAAAAATTTTTCTTTAGAGCATACCCTGAAATATCAAGGCTTTTACTAACCCTAGGGCAACACACTGTCCTTCATCCTGTTAACTGCTCTCCTTCTTCTCCTTTTTTCTAAATGCCCACATTTTCTCAGGACTCCCAAGTTTCATCGTTTATATTTTATGATTCAGCCAAGTAAATCCTTTGCCTCAGCACAAACAACATTATAAAAACTGGGTTTGGATCAGTATAATCAGGCCTTTTTATCAAAGGAGCAGACAAAACCAAAGTGTTTTAAGGGTGGGTGGGCAGGGGAACAGCACAAGACACTTGAACAAAATGAGGTTTTGAGCTTTTCCCTGTTTCCACACTTTTCATTTTTAAACCAAGCAGACTACACCACAAAGAAAGTTCTGCAGAATTTTGAACGGTGTGGAAAAAGAATTTGCAAAACACTGAGAAGCAGCAATACAGTGCCAAACTCTTCAGGAGTCAAATGAAAGAACTGAAAGGCCAACTTGCTTCACTAAAACAGATTAGCTCCATTGCCTGCAAAAGCTTTGAGAAATAAAGTTGCAAAAAAGCACCTTTACTCCTAGGAAGGCAACAACCAAAAACCTGTAAGCTTTACACATGAAGCAGAACTGAACAAGCTCCCTTTTGACCCGTAAAGCAGTCAGCAAAGTCCATGCAGATCACTCCAGAGAACTGCTCAGAGAAGAGAAAGCAAATGAACAAACCCAAAAGAACAGTTCTGCACAGTATTCCCCAAAGCAGCAAGTCTCTAAATGCAAGAGCTCTTGTAAGAGAAAATGAGATTCACCTGAGAGCCAGCATTTAATTGCCTGAAATGGAAGTTTCAGGAAGGAGGGTGAGATCTGGCGGATGTTATCCCGTGGGACATCCTCAGTGTTCCCATAGTCCACAAAGCTCACTCGAACTCTTCCACCTGAAGTGACTTTTTGCACCACAGCACGGTACCAGTTACCATCTTCTAATTTAAAGATGAAAAAAAAATTAGTAATTACTTCACACATTTGCTAAGTCTACCAGCCTTCACTTGTTAATAAATAATTTTTTCCTGTCCTCTACTAATGTGAACTATTAGCTGATTTTTCATGTTCACCCTATAAAAACAAAACTATTTTATTCTGTTACTTGCCAGAGTAGAAAGCACAGCAAGGGTCTCCATTCTCAGGCTCCAAAACATCTGGTGGTGTATTCTGACAGTATTCAGACAATGTTTTGTTAAGCGAGTTTAGAGCAAGTAACTCTGAAAATTAGAAAAAAAATAGAGATGAGATCAATGAAACGAGCAGACTTGAACTTTATCAGTTCACTCTACAGTTTACTTGTAAACCTTCAAATGCACTCCTTGACTACATAAGTCAAGGAACAAACACTCCTCACTTTTTAAGAGCTGCCCCATATTTTTTGTTTGAATGCCTTTAGCTCCCTCTTCAGCCACTGAATTTTGTCACACTCTTTTTCTAGCATTTAAAACACCAATGGCTATCAGAAGTCTTTACAGACTTCTGGTAGAGAAACAAGATTACTTTTTAACTAATCCAACAGGAAGTCACATCTCAACAGCTGCATTTTCTCATTTTTGTGTTACAATTATTCTATCTCTTTAAGTTCTTATAAATTATGAGAGTGTACTAGAAGAGAGCTCCAGCAAATACTGTCTTGGCACAGGGAACATGTCTCTTATTTGCTTTTATTAACAGAATCACTACATCATGAAGGATGGAAAAGACCCTTCAAGATCATTTAGTCCAACCATCAAGCCAGCATCACCACAGGCACCCCAAGTACCACATCCAGATGCCTCTTGCACACTCCCAGAGACAATGACTCTACCACCTTCCTGCACAACTTATTCCAGGCCTGGCCACTCTTCCAGAGAAAAAAAAAATTAAGATAACCTTTGACTAGGTTATAGTAACTCTTTCACTTTCCTCTACTGCTTATCTTCAACATTATTCAGATTTGAATGCCATGATCAAATTTCTTGGTCACTCCACTTGTATTCTTAGATTTAAACCTCAGAGTAAGCCTTTGTGCTGTAAGCTTACTTGACACAGCAGTTCATTAGACCTATAAAAAATGGCAAACCAGGAAGCAAAGAAACTACCAGAAAGAATTAAGCTGAATAAACTTACCATGGCTGTTTGAAATCTGACAGTAGAATTCTCCAGGATTGTACACTGTACACACTATGACACTGAGTGTTTGGTTAAGAGTTAATTTAATCCACTTGCACATTCTTTTGTTCGTTGTGTCCTCTAGAGAGGACAAAAAAAAAAGCACAGAATGAAAAGAAATTAAAGTAACTTTTACAGGGAAAAAAAACCCCATCCCAAATGCTCATTCACATGCTTGAATTTCTTGTTATAAACTGTCCAACATACTAAGTACCAGTGAGAGCCTCTTTGCAGAGTAAAACCAAGAGAAATATGCCAGTTCCTTTATGTAATTCTTCATTATCAAAAGGAGCAAGCCATAGATAGCAGGGAAGAGTAATTACATACAGAGGTAAAGGCTGGCTGGCAACAGCCTGGGCAAGAGGGGCACTGGGGAACTTTGGTTCCTGGAAACAGAGTAGGGAGCACAGCAAAGGGAAACATCTGTCACCAATCCAAGGAGGAAGAGCAAAAAACACTACTAGAAGGACTGGTGGCAGAAATTTGCACTGAATATTGTACTCAGGTACCTGAAAGAAACTTATTATTTAACATGAGCTGCAGAATGCATCATGGGAACACTAAATCATGGCACTGGAGAACACATTCTGTTTAAAACCTGCATTCAACAGCTCTGGCTCAGTGACAGAAATGACAAAAAGGTGAGAGGTAACCAATAAAGCAAAGAAGTACAAAACAGGCCCTTGTTGAGGGCCACAGATCAAAATGTGTTATTAGATACAGCCAGGTAAGTTACTTTTTATTCTAATTTTTTGTAAGATTCCTTACTCTTCTGAACGAAGACAAGGAATAATTGTGTCCTAGCCACAAGGCCTCTAGTGAGAAAGATCAAAATTATTTGAACAGACTTGGCAAAAAGTTTTCAGTACCAAAGGATCAGAAGAGAATAACTACATTTGCCAGACACAGGATGGAAAAAAAAAGGAACTTAGCATGCTTCATAAGAGAGAAGCCAGGAATCTTCTCCAAGATTTCAAAGAAATTTATTGTAACTTTAGCAAAAATCTCTTGGATTGAAGCTTTGGCCACTAAATTCAAACAAGGCAATATAAGCATAGACTTGAAGCTTTATAAGCTACTACAGTCAAATTTTCAAGGACTAAGTATGAGGTCTATGTGTAAAATACAGGAAAATGAAGATGACAATAGAGCAAATATTATTTGCACTAATGGATAAGGATGTAGGAATAACCAGGTAATAACCAGTCATAACCTACTCCAACTGGAAATTTTAAGACTTCTAACAAGAGTAAGTACCAACTTCCAAAAGCAGGCAATAACAACTTTGTTAAGTGTGCACACCTGCACACACACACAGACACACAATTCTTTACAGGTAAGTTGCCATGGATAACCTTTGAACTTGTGAGGGCTAAACTTGAGGAGCCAGACTGAAAAGCTCCTAGAGATAAGAGCTTGCTTGCATTCTCTGTACCCACCCTAGCAGGAGGTGAACAATGCCAGGCAGCAAGATGTGTTCATACTCACCCTTGGCTGGCTCCACATCACTCCCTCTGGCTGCTGGTGAGGCCAAGCTCAGCTCCTCAGCTGCAAAGCCTTCCTCAAGGAGAAGGCTTGATACATTTATTACTGGAGTGCTTGAGGCATCTGTAAGCTCCACCACAGATTTAGAACCGTCTTTATCCACTACTTTTACTGTCAACACTTTGTCTTTCACCAGTTTTCTCAAGTAGGAAATACATTCTGAGGTCCGTGCTAATGGTGCCTTTACACCTAAAAAGTCACAAAGTATGGAAAGGTTCTGAGGTCAGTCCAACTCTCACCATGTGTGGACAGGTACAACAACTGCAAGTACATTCTGAAACATTTGTCACATTTTGTAGATATGCCATGACAGTTAAGAATTCTGGAAATAATGCCCTACCATTACCTCCATCCTTTGCCATGTTTCCATGTCTGATACTACAGCTGTGGTGGTTATGTAACACCACTTGTTCTCCCTCTATCTAGTGTGAAACTGCTAATCATTTACTTCATACCTGCCAGGCTACATCTTATGGCTTGAGCTGGCAAGTCCATTAAGCTTGGAATTATAGGACGAAGTCTGGCCAGTGGAAGAGAGTCAGAATTACCATAATCCACATAGTCCACCAAAACAGTGTCTTCAGAAGCATAAGCAGTAACAGCAGCACGATACCAAAGGTTGTCCTCTAGAAAGGAAGACACAGATGTTTTGTCTGAGAATTATTTTTTTTTGACAGACCAATATAAAAATACACCCATCTCAGTACAGCTCAGGACTACCAGGTGTTGGCTAAAGGAGCATTTTGAGAAGCAGTCTGTGAGAGCAGCATCATTCCATATAATCCCATTTCTTCTGTGCTTCTTCTGGGGACTGAAATTTCAAATATATACCTATTTCCAGCCCTGGGGAAAAAGTACTTAGCAACATAAAAAAAACCAAACTTCCCATGATCTCTTAATAAGCTATTCTAAATAATCTGAATCCAATGTTAAGAGTTTGCTCAATAAAGGGACATTTTAAAATTGGTACTTTACAGATACAATTTTTCAAATCACTACCCAACATTACCCACAGCTAAAAATCAGAGATAAGTAAACTCTACATAAAACATTTCTAAACATAATTACAAATTGTATCTTTTTGGTAATAAATTTAAGTGACATAACTAAGTGTTTTCAGTCCATTTTTACCTGTGAACTGGGCACAGCACACATTGCCAGCAGCAGGACGGAAAGATGGACTACTGGGAATTTTGCCACAGTATTCATTAAGGGATGCTTCAAGCTCAGCAAGTTGACCTGATATTAAAATACATAAGTTTTGGAACATAGCCTATCTTGCAATTATTACAAAATAATTAAGCTCAAAGCCTGGAAGAACATCTTATAGTCTAATGGAGATTATTTCAAATGTTTAACACTGATCAGAGTAGGGCTCTTCAATCATTAACATCCAAGAGAGTCCTCATGTGTGTCTGAGGAATCACAGCAGCAGTGAACAGACAGGGAAAACCAGGGATGGATTTGTTTCAGCAAAGAGACAAAGCTGAAGCCTGTGCAAACTGAAAGCAAGCTAGTGGAGGCATGCCAAGAAGAAACCAAGGAAGATAGCTCTTCCAACAACAGGCAGATGATGAGGTAGGCAGCTTCTTCCCAAGGACACAGTTTGCTACTGATTACCCAGAATTAAAAGGCTGTACATGGAAACAGAAGAAAAACTGACCCTCCTCCAGCCACTCCCTACCAAAGAGAAAAATGCCACACCAGACATTCTACATCCCATTTCCAACCATCACTTACGGGCACTTTGCATCCGCTGACAAAAAAAGGTGTCTGGACTTTGAATGTGAGAAACCACACCAAAAAATTCATCTCCAATACTTAAAGAGACAAACTTGGTAATTGAATTAACACAGTGAGAAGAGTCTTCATCCTCAGGTATATTTTTTTCACCTCCCTTTGAATGGTTTTCTGATACTGCACATAAAAAAGAAAAAAGGTTGCCAATCAAAAGCTAGTTGACTTGGAAAATATAAACATACTGAAATATTTTTTTTTTAAATTTTGATGCTTTGGACTTCAAAAGCTTCTGTCACATTATGAAATTAATGCTCATCTAATAACCACTATACAAATGTTTTATACTATTAAAATGTCTATGAGCTAATGTCAGTAGTGACCTGAAGCTCCATTAGCCAACATTTTTAACTTTGAGGTGATGCTAGTGAGCAGCTAGAACATCATGCAGTACAGGAGGAGCTAAAATTCCCCAAGTTTAGTTTGGCTTGCTTGCTTACCTCTTGGAGAGTCTACTTTGGCATCACCTCCTGAAGCTAAATGAGACTTCATTTCTAAGGGAACTTTATTTAGGCAGTCTTCTAAAATACAGATCAAGAATAAATGATTTAGCACACAAATAGCCATCAGCTAGTTTCACTTCAGAACCATCCTCTGAGCCAGATCTATATTCCTATCACAAGGTGAATATGTTCTATTTATTTGTTCAGCACTTAATGTTTAAAATGCAAAACAAAGGTATTTTCAGAGTAGCTCAGCTACTTGAGTTTTCTGAGCACATTCACAGCTCCAAGACTGTCTGACTTCATAAAATGAGAAAAGCAGTAACAACCAACATTTACTTGCAGTCACTAAAGACTGTGAGCTGAAAAATTGATTATTGCTTTTTAGACACAAGGATTCATAACTTACCTCATTATTTACAACACTGAGTAAGTAATGATTTAGTCAAGATGTCTTTGTAAATCTTGGTTTCTCAGCTGAATGCATGAAGCAGCAATCCAAACTTTCAATGCCATTATTTTCAAATTAAAACCTCAATACAGGTGTTTCAGTTGCTTATAAAGTCTGGAATGAATGCATGAACATTTCAAGAATGCAGTGCCATTTATGTGATCCTCTCTCCAAAAGGGTAGCAGGTTACACATCACTTCACCACTACTGTGCTGTGAAGCACCAAATGTGAAACATGCCCAGCACAATCCTTAATCAGTTGAATTTACAGGGGACTGAAGTGAACCATCCTTTGAGAGACTGCACAGCATCACATGGAGATAAGCTTCCTGCACAGGAGCAAGTTTAGCAAGCTAGGAGCATCAACCACCACATCCCTGAATGTTTCTGTGGGCTGAAGATCAATTAAATGAATTGGTCTTGGCACTACATTGCTCCTGTCTGCAGCCAGAGAAAAATGTAAACAACATGACAAAAGGTGCACCTTGCACGTACTGATCTGCTTTGACAATCAAACCCAGCTCAACTGAAAATCTGAATTCTGACTCCTCAAAGGTCTTGTGCTTGGCTTGGCTCTCACTGAAGCTTGCTAGGTTAGAAATATAAACATGCTTATAGAGTTCTCCAGCTGGATACAGCAATATCCAGTGATTGCTCTTTCTTTGGAATACTTAGTGAGCATGTATGAAATGTAATGAAAGCTGGTAAAATCCTATATGGAACTAGAAATTGGCACTGCAGTTTTTAAAGAGTTAAAAACGTACGAGAAAGAAACAAAATGGTACCAAATTTTCACGCATCTATTAAAACAGAAAAATAAACAAGATGATCCAGAACACACTGAAGTTAATACAATTCTATTGGAAAAGTAACCTTCCTAAAATTTAAGGTTATTACCCTCAGCAAGGTATTTCAGGAACTGACATTTTATGGAAGGGTGAAAAAGTAGAATTGAAAAAAAAAAAAAAAAAGAAGTCAAGGGAGAGGTTGGGAAAGCACCAAGAGGGAGGAGGGCAGAAGAAAAATAAACAGGTTATATTTTACATGTGTTAGGGAGGGGTGTGAACATAAAGGCCTTAATTGTGGTGAGTTATTTTACCCACACAACCAAGCACTCACCAGAATCTGGAAGTACAACATCTACAGCAAAACTCAACCTCACTTCCTCCTGCAATATATCAACACCAGTTAGGGAACAGTGCTTTCCTATGAGCTGAGATCATATGAGCACAGCAGATCCAGTCAAGACATAGTCAAAATTGTATGACATACCTTAACATAAACTCCTGTCTTGGTTTTGCTATGACTTAAACTGTAATCAAAGAAAAATATGTCAGTTTGAAGAACCAAAGACTGACAAGTAGCATTAATAATACAATCTACTTGCAAATAGATAAAAAGCTGCATTCATAGTATGTGATTTTCGCCAAGCCTTATTCCTCATCCACTAAAATGCAGAAATACAAATATGGTAATATGTAATACTGACAGGCATTAGATAATGCAGTGCTAGCTTAAGAATAAGCAACATATTTTACTGTACTAGTGCCTTCCCATGGTCATTTATGTTGTAGTGGGAGGGACACTGTTTTTCTGTGAAGATGATTTGGCAGAACTTTTACAAACTTACTTCTGTTTAAGGGGATCACAAACTACTCTATGTGCTGGCCAGTCTTTTTTCTGACAATCTGCAGAGCAATAGTAAGTTTGCAGACACTGTGAGCATCTGAGCTTTCCTAAAACAAACCAAACAAAAAAAGACAAGAGAAGTCTGAGGAAAATATGTATTGGAAGGAACAAGAACTGTTTAAATAACTGCTCTACAAAACAGCTCCCCTGCAATTCTAAGCACACACAAATAGGTATTTGTATTGACATACAGCTATCAGACATTGCTGCCCAAATATCCCAAATTCCTCCTACATTTAAGGGAAAAAACCCCACCACTTCTGATAAAGAAATGCTCTCTTCTGCTTGTCAGTTCTGTTACTCCAACTATGTTCTGAATACAATATACTTGTGTCTGAGAGTTAAAAATATTTATGCATTTAAAGACATTTCTGAGCAAATCTGGTCTGGTTTCACTGCTAGATGTACTGTGTGTCAGGCTACAGGACAGCAGGCACTTACCAAACAGACCACAACGATGGCAAGTGCCCCCTTTAGGGGGTGGTACTAATAAACTCAAGAAACTCTTATCATAGCAAATAGAAAAAGCACTCTTAGAGGAACACTGCAATTTCTTTGGCTTCCCATTAATCCAATTAGAATGTGACACCTGTGGAAGAAAAACCTGAAGTCATTCTTACTGGAAAAAAACCTGCCCATTAGGGTAGAAATATTCTAATATACAAAAACATGACAACAAAAGGAGACACAACTTTTAAGTTCTAGAAAGAGAAATACATGCTGATAACTCCTGCTACCTAGAAATGCTCAGAATACTTGGGGCAACTATAAAGTGAAATAACTCACAGTATTTTCTTTATCAGCTGCAGCTATGCAGTTCTCTCTACCAGTTTTGTCTTCCATAGAACTTCCTAGAAGCAGAAGTATTTGCAAAGGGATCTGATTAACAACACCAACACATGCCTATGTTATGGAATATTTGCAGGAAGAAACAAGGCTCTTGGCTACTCCTACTACTCTGCCAGCCCATTTGAGGGAACAGAGATGCTTGGACCTTGACACACTCTGGAAATCACTTGTTTCCATTCTGATACCACATTTACTCAATCATGCAATCATGGTATTATTAAAACAACACTTTCACCTTCTGTGCTTATCACTCAATACTGACAAACAAAACACTCTGGAACAAGAGACTCTGACTTTCCAGTGAGTGCCTTATAAACCTTGTGGTCTTTCCTGTCAGTTTTTCTTTACCAAACAACTCTTACAAGACATTCATCTAAGCCTGCATATCAATATAGCAGGAACTCTGTTTTGATAACTCATCCACCTACAAAGAATTTGTTTCTGTTCTCGGCTACATATACCACTCAAATCTTGTTCCAGCCTGGCAGGCCTGTCCAAGGTCTCCACTGAGACAACATAAAGCTTTCATGGCCTTTTTCCCCACCTGGAAGCAAGTGAATCTTGGAAACTCTGCCTGAACTGAAATTCTTGCCTAACACAAAATCAAATTTCATGAACTCTTCAGACCCAAGATGTTTGTACATAAAGCTAGTTCAGATCTCCCAAAATGAAGCCTTTCCCTCTCCCCAACTTGGAGTAAGAGAACATGGATCAGACAGTAGCAAGGCACTTAAGAGGCAAGAAGCATTGCTGAAGGAACTCCAACTCCCATGTATTGGTCCGAATTCCCTGACACCTCAATTATCCTGGTGGGTTTTTTAGATTCTGAGGCATTTCAGCAGGCACAAGTTTGGATAATTAGGAGTTATATTGACAAGCCATACTCTACTGATGATGTGTATCAATAATAAAGCATATACCCAACCACAGAAGAATAAAGTCAAGATACCTCTGTCAAGCTTAAGACAAAGTCTCTCTTACTGCACTTGTGCTGTTGTTAAAACTTTCTGTACTGTTTCTACATTTGTCAAAAATAACCTGTATTCTTTGCTTACAAAATACTGGATTTTGTTAAATATTTCAGAAACTCAGCCTCAACTAAAAACTAAAAGTTTTTCAACAGTAAGTTTGTACCTGGGACCCTGTTGCTTAAATCTGCATCTGCAACTTCCTTATGTTGAAGATTAAGTGGTTCTGCCATCACGTAAAGGTTGACATTAGAGTATGACCAAAGGTGGCTGTGGGCCAGGTAACTGCAAAAGCATGGATTTAAAGATAAATTCAGGCAGGCACACAAATTAAAGTATTTTTGGGTCCTATTCTGAAGATATATTTAAGCATTCATTCATCTATTTCTTTTGTTTGCACAGCAAAACACTTTCTGCACTAAAGAACTCAACAATGAATACAGGAGATTAAATTATGAAAATTCCTTTAGAAGAGGAACACACTGACAAATAGGAGCAGCCATCAACGCCTGCACACGAAGCTCACTGTGTCACTGGAAGAGACCTCACTGTACTTTTGTTAAAGAAGTCTGTAGTGATAAAAAGCACAGGCTGCACTCCTGGGTTCCTCATGCCCTGAGGGGAACCACTGCCCCAACAGCAGCTGCCTGAGGGGAAGCAAAGCCCTGGGCTCTGCCGAAATGCATTTTCAGCACCTGCTTTCCAAATGCTAAGATGCAATATAATTATTTTAAATGAGAAGTATAGGCGAAAACAAACTAAAATTAACCTGCAAATAAAGCACAGTAGTCTAAGTGACACTGCACACTAACTCCACCAGAAAAGTGCGTTCAACAACCGCAATTAAAGAGGTGTTATTAAAATTAACTGATTCTGAAGTGATTTTTAAGTGATTAAAATTAAGCGATTTTAAGTAATCATAATAAAATTAGACAGCCCCGTCCCACGGCCTGCACCCAAGCTCGCAGCCAGCCCCGCCACCTCCGGCCCTCCCTCCCCTCAGCAAAGCGCTCACCCCGGGCCGCCCCCGGCTCCTTTCCTGGGGGAAAGCGAAGCGCCCACCCCCTGCCCCTCTCTCGCCCCAGAGCAGCGCTCACCCCGGGCCGCCCCCGGCTCCTTTCCTGGGGGAAAGCGAAGCGCCCACCCCCTGCCCCTCTCTCGCCCCAGAGCAGCGCTCACCCCGGGCCGCCCCCGGCTCCTTTCCTGGGGGAAAGCGAAGCGCCCACCCCCTGCCCCTCTCTCGCCCCAGAGCAGCGCTCACCCAGGGCCGCCCCCGGCTCCTTTCCTGGGGGAAAGCGAAGCGCCCACCCCCTGCCCCTCTCCCGCCCCAGAGCAGCGCTCACCCCGAGCCGCCCCTGCCCCTCTCTCGCCGCAGAGCAGCGCTCACCCCGAGCCGCCCCTCAGAAGAGCGCTCACCCCGGGCCGCCCCTGCCCCTCAGGGCAGCGCTCATCCCGGGCCGCCCCTGCCGCCCCTCAGAAGAGCGCTCACCCCGAGCCGCCCCTGCCCCTCAGGGCAGCGCTCACCCCGGGCCGCCCCTGCCCCTCTCTCGCTCCTCAGAGCAGCGCTCACCCCGGGCGGCCGCCCTGCCGTCGGCGCTGCCCCACGCGGGAAGCTGCGTCGTGCGCTCACTCGACGACCGTCGGCGGGAAGAGGAGAAGCAGCGGCCCCCGCAGGCCAGCGACGTCTGCAGGCGCTCCCGGCGGGCCCGTGGCGCTCATTCCGCCCCGCCCAGGCGGGACCCCGTGCCCAGGGGGCGGAACGGGGCATGTGCTGCTGCCCGGGCGCCCGCAACCCGCGGTGCCGCCTTCGCGGCCGGGGAGGAGCGGCCTGGGGAGTCTTGCCCTGGCCCGGGTTATTCCAAGCCCTGACCTGGCCTTGAACACTTCCAGGGATGGGGTATGAGGCATCCACATCTTCTCTAGGAAACCTTGTGTCAAGGCCTCACTACCCGCACAGCAAAGGATTTCTTCCCAATATCTAATCTAAACCCATCCTCTCTCAGTTTGAAGCCATTCCCCAGGTCCAATCACTACATGCCCTTGTAAAAAGTCCCTCTTCAGCTCTCTTGTACCTTTATGTACTGGAAGGTGCTCTGAGGTCTCCCCGGAGACTCCTCCAGGATGAGCAGCCCCAGTTCCCAGCCTGACCTCATAGCAGAGGTGCTCCAGGCCTCTGAGCGTCTTTGTGGACATGTTGAACCAGTAACCCCAATTTATTTGATACAAATTCAGAAAATGGCTGTGAGAGCTATGCAAAAAGCTGAAATTTGATACATAAAATTGATGTGTTTGTATTTTAAAGTATTTGAATTTTGCCCTGCAGCCAAGAACATAAATCACTTCATTTCCCATTTCTAACCGATTCCCATTTTCCTTTGTCCTTTTTCCTCTTTCTTTTCTATACAAGGTGTTTTCCCCTTTTCTTCAACTTTTGTCTCCCACCTCCATGTCTCCATCCTTATGGGAAAATATACTTCATCCTCAAGATTGCTGCAGTTTTATGCTACTACTCAGACATGATCTCAGGTGTTCTCAGTGCTGTGCAATTAAGCTTTCACCAAAAAATAAATTAATCTGATCTATTTTAGTGCCTACATTGTTGTACTTATTTTTAAAGTGTATAAAATCAGTGATGGATTTTATTGTTACATGTTCTGTACAGCAGGGAATAATTATCTCTGTTCACAGAGAAGTAGCTGAAGCATAGCTATTTTGCCTTAAGTCATTTGGCATCTGGCTGTGACAGTGTTTCAGTCTAAATTATCTGTATTTAAGTCTAGGATCCTGTCTGCCAAACTAAGCATTCTCAAAAGAGAAGTGAACAATACATCTGAGGGCTGCTAAGTTTTCTCTCAGTGGTTAAGATACCACCTACTAAAGTCAGAGGAAAGACTCTTCCTGGCTTATATGAACCTCCAGCCTGAGCAAAGCTGAGTGGATCAGAGGCTGCACTTACAACAAGAAGGAAAACTAGGTGGAATTTTGTGGGATTTCAAGAAACCCACATGCCAAATTGCTCAGCATTGCATATCAGAGTAGGCACACACCTGTATGTGGGAGATTGTGGGGTGACAGGGCAATCATGATCATACAGCCTTCAACATCTTCCTGCCCCTTGTTCCTCTGTCCCTAAGATTAGCCCAGTAATCCTCATGCCAAGGAAGAACTAATACCAGTAAGGCAGTAAGAAATATTTCTCTGTCATTCAAACCTCTCTCAAAAAAAAAAAAAAAATAGGTTTTCTTTATAGCTTAAGACATCTAGATAAGATGATGCAGCACCCTGTCCAGCTGAATATTAAAATTGTCCAGCATTGGGAATCCACCGCTTCCTTGGGGAGATTATTCCAATGGCTGTTTTTTCTTATTGCGAAACATTTTACTCCTTTGGTCCTTTGACACCAGTGGTCTCAGAGAAGTGTGGGGTATCACTCAGCACATCTGCTGGTTGAGCCACCTCACTGTTCTCCCTTAAAGTGGAGTTGCTAACACTTTAGCTTAAGGAGAAAAAATAGCTTTGTAAGCCCTTTCAGAGGGCAAAGCTATAGAAATACTCTGGACAATGAACAAATGTCATCTAGAAACCGAGCAATCAGATGAACATTTCCTTTCCTTTCTCTTATATAATAAAGCATAAGCCAAAAGCCAACCTTTTGAATATGTGGGTCAAATTCTGCTTCTGCCTCTGCAATGCAGAGCTTGTCTGCAGCAGACAAGTCTGTTGTTGTGTAGGACTGTCTGTCTTTCAGATGGCAAGTTCTCTCACTCAGGAATTGTTTTCCTCAGCATTTGTACATGCCAAATAAGATCTATGGCTGGCTAATTAAGAGGTCCAGTAATTAATTTTGATTTAACATCATGTAAGTGGTTTGAGGAAGGACTCTGTGACCTGTCACTATCATTCCCTAAGTATCTGTGGCCACCTCCTGGGGATAAAGTACTCTTCACATGAAAATGTGGCTAAAGTGCAGGTATTATAGGAGTCAGAACTCTCAGCATCAGTTCTGGGACTAGAGCTATGGGGAGTCCAGCTGAGTACAAAAAAAGTCCTTTTCTTCTGCCTTTAAGGAAGAACTGCACTAACCAGGCTCTATTTTCTTCACCTGATTTTAATCTTTCTCTAATGAGTAAAAGGCAAAAATCAGATTCAATTTTGCCAGGTCTCTTGGAACACACTAAACACGTACAGGTAACATCAGTGGGACTGCAGACAAAGTGTACAGCAAGGTAAAAGCACAAATCTTAAAAAGACTGGGGTCAGAGTATACTGATGTCTCTGCAGTTGTCTTTAAACAACCTGAAAACCAAATAGGAAAAGAAGCATTTGGGCACTGAAGTGACTGTGTTACAGAGCAGCTGTGTGAACTTTGCAGCTTAGCGGCAAAACAACAGCAGTGGTGGCAAAGAACCCTTCCTGAAAGCAAAGCTTAGATTTGTGCTGCATGGCAATTAGCAAGTGAGTGTTGCATGTCACTGCTTTCTGAAAAGAGACAATTTTTACTTATCTCTGTTTCACACCTGATTTTTTATGTATTTTTAGAGAGATGGAATGCACAGTATAATTTGAGCAAAGCAAGAGCTAGGCACTTGCCTTTAAAGTGTTATTTGGAGGTTAAAGTTGAGGGCATGAGTGTTCTCTGCAACCTACTTCCATTTGTGCTTTCAAATTAATGTTTTTAAAGACATATGACTGACCCCTTTGCTGCTTAGAGGTGATGGCTAGGACATTGCTTAATTACCTGAAGTAGTATTAGCTTTCCCAGAATAATGGACACGGAAAGATTTATTGTTATTACGGCACTGAAAGGTTTACAGATTGATTTTTTCTAAGATCCCACTGTTCTTTTTAAGGATCAGTTAAAATGTTTTGTTCTGGTTTCGGCTGGGATAGAGTTAATTTTCCTCCTAGTAGCTGGTACAGAGCTGTGCTTTGGATTTAGGATGGATTTAGAACAATGTTGATAACACACTAATGTTTTTAGTTATTTCTAAATAGTGTTTACACTATTGTCAAGGACCTTTCAGCTTCTCATACCCTGCCAGCAAGAAGCTGGGGTGGGAGAGGGGGGGAAACACAGCTGGGACAGCTGATCCCAGCTGGCCAAAGATTATTCCATACCAAATGGCATCATCCTCAGTACATAAACTGAGGAATAGCTGACCAGGGAACAGTTTGGGAACTGTCTGGGCATCAGTCAGTAAGTGGTGAAAAATTGCATTGTGTATCACTGGGTTTGTATGTATTATCATGATTATTATTTAATTTTCTCTCACATTAAACTGTCTTTATCTCCACCCAAAGTTTGAGTCTTCCAGTTCTGAAACTGGAGAGGGGAATGAGCCAGCAGCTTTGTGGGGCCTAGTTGCTGGCTGGGGTTAAACTACAGGTTTTAAGGAGCATTTTCTAGGACCCCCAAATTTGCAGTTGCAGCTCTGAAATTCCAAATGCCTAGAAAGAATATGGAGAAAAAGAACTTGCTCTGAAATAACTCTCTCAATTAATGTTTGTAAGTGAAGTTATGCAGCACATTCTACTTTGAAGGTCATCTGTGATACAAAGTGAAGGAATCATCAGTGCATCATTGGGTAGTGGATGTTTTCATACATGTAGGTATGTGTATGCTTTTATACATATATAAAAATTATTTAGCCAAAATAAAGCAACAATTTGATCTAGCATCAAAGTTCGCCTTGCTATGAGTAGGGGATTGGAGTAGATAATTTACTGAGGTCCCTTCCAACCTGAATTATTCAGTAATTCTACGTTGCTTTTCTCTTGTTATGTTAGTTGAGGAGAGGTGCCAATGCTCATTTTAGCTGAGCTGCTATAGCAAATATAACTGCTTTCACTTAGCAGCTTGTCTGCTGAGGTATTTTTTTCAATTTTTTTTTATTAAATAAAATGGCATTTATGCCGTGCTCTGTATTCCAAAAAGCTTTGTGTTCCATTGAAAAACTGCTGATCCCAGCACTGAAATGCAGTCCAGATTTTTGATGTCCAGCAAAATTTTCACTTCTTTAAAAAATCCAATCAGAATAAGGAATGAAGTCCCGACAGGTGCTAAGTAAGCTGTTTATTAACATTACTGGATTGACTCTTGCATGGTATGTAGGTGCAGAGGATTTTGACATAATGTGCAGGGGTTGGTTATGGAGAATGAGATGCTGTTTATTAAGGCAGAAGATTCTATTTGTTATTACTTGTGCTCTGGATCTTGCAAAAAGGAGAGGCATCTTCGTAACCATCTCTCCGAAAACAGCTGAGGTGAAGAATCCCTCCTGTAAGGCAGCTGCTCAGGGCTCTGGGTTTAGACAGTGCCATGGAATGTCTGACATGAGATCCCTTGTTAACAAAAACACATGTTTAAATAAGAAGAGGAAAAAAAACCATCGAGACTGAAACAATTTATAGACGCGTGCCTGGAAAAAACTGGATGTCTTGTGTGAAATCACAGAATCGATTAGGTTGGAAAACGCTTCTGAGATCACCGAGTCCCGCCACCCAACACCACCAGGGCAGTGAGTGCTCCGGCCGGGCTCTCCTTAAACACCCCAGGGAGGGCGACTCCACCACCTCCATGGGCCGTCCGTTCCGCTGTCTGATCGCCCTTCCCGTGAAGAAATTCTTGCTAATGTGCACCCTCAATGTCCCCTGGCGCCGAGTGCTCTAACACCGCAGCATGATGTCCTACATCCAGCCGCTCGGAGCTTCTAGCAGTGGATCGCGGTCTTTCGGCGGCGCGGGTGGGAACGCGGCGGCAGCACGAGG